ATGATCGTGGTTCCCTAAGCTCTTCGAGACCAGTTTCATTTTAGAATCAGAACTTATAATTTCTATTTCTATGCATCTAAAAATATCTGTTCAACTCGAGTCTCTTACCTGAAAACTAAATTTCTTTATTTCTTGTAGACTAGTGGTCTTAAACATTAACCTGCAGTGGAATTACCCCTACTGCTTGTTAAACTGGGGCTCACTGAATCTCACCCCAGAGTTCCAGGTTCAGATGACATGGAGTGGCACCAGAGAATTTGCAAGGTTTTGAGGTGCTGGTTTTGAAATGGGATCTTACTGTGGAGTCCAAGCCGGCCTTGAATTCCCCAGGAGCTGGAATAACAAGCATGCACCACTGCACTGAGCAGAATGTGTAGCCTGGAGTTAATATTCTGTGAACCTTTGCTCTAGAAAATCTGACCGCATGAAGCAGACAAAGAAGACAACTGCTCACCTCGGAAATTAAAACAGTAGCATATAGAAAAAGCAAAAAAGAAGAAAAACATTTAAAGAAGTGTAGGAAATTGTTACAATGAAGAGGTAGAGCTGTCCTCTTGACACTATTTAGCCTCGAAATCACCTGTCTGTCTCTTTCAATTTAATAGATTATCTAAAGTGCCTCTTTGCTCATATCGACCTACAGAATGCTGTTAAATTAGCACATGAACAAAAGTGTGTAACAGACATTGGAGACAAATTGCTTTGAAGTTTTTTAGTTATACCTGCTTCTCTCTGTTTTAATAGATTCATAGTTTTGGTGTTTTTAAATATCCATTTTGTTCTCATTTCTCCTTTCTCCATTTGATTCTGACATTTTAACTTATTGTAACAGCTCTTAGCTAATCATAGCTGTTCCTTTATTGAACATCACTTTGTGAAGCAAGTGACACTAGTTTAGTGTCAACTCTTGTGCATACAAGTAAACATATCTTTTTATGTAATGTTTGCATCTGCTCATACATTTAACATATAGAGAAGAAGGTACTAGCATTGAAAATCTTCCCTTCAATGCTATGAAATGGAAAGAAGCTTGTGTCAAGAATGATTTGGCTCAGTAATATTAGTGGTTTAGCCAGTGGGAAAGTTGACTGAGGAAGTCAAGAGATAAACCAACCCCCCCACCACCAAAAAAAACACTCCAAAACCTTATTCATTGCCATTGCTGAATTGAAAATCAATTGATGGTTTACAAACATGAAAGAGAATCTATCACCCACTTTACAACTCTTTTCTAATGTAACACAAGACAAATGTGTTTAGTGTGTTAAAGATCTGATCATTGTAAAGAAAAAAACTTAGAAATTCTGATCATACTTTTTTATACTCCTCATGTTCATTGCAAATCTGTCTTTTTAGACACACAAAATAGCTCATTAGGAGTTTAAAAGTAGCACATTAAACGACATAGTTTAATAAATACATTCTGAGATGACACTAAAATACAGCTTCTATACTAACACAGGTAGCCTTGCAGGAAGAAATTTCCAAATATTACCAAAAGATAACTCAATATTAACTTGGACTCCCTTTCTTCAGCATATTAATAAATACTTGTTTTTCTTTCTTTTCAAATTTTCTTTCCCTCTTCTTATCATATATATGAACTCTGGGACTCGTGCTTGCTAGGCAGACACTCTACCACTTGAGCCATACATACTCCTGGTCCTTTTGCTTTAGTTACTTTTTTTTTCAAATAGGGTCCCACTTTTTTTGCCCAGAGGTGGCTTTGGATCACAATCCTCTTACCTACAACCTCCTGTACAGTTGGGATTATAGATATGCATCCTCATGTCTGGCTTATGTGTTGAGATGGGGCCTTGCTAACTTTTTATCTAGGCTACCCTCAGACATCGATTCTCCCAATGTCTGCCTCTCAAGTAGCTGGGATTACAAGCATGTACCACTTTTATACTTTTCATGGATGGCAATATGACTATGCATTGTAACCAATAAGATCTCATTAGATATCAAGGAAAATGCTTCAAAACAGCAATAATGAAAAGCATCCCATACTTTTTAATGGCCCTCTTCCTTTTCCAACTGCTTCACTTTCTCATTTTCTCCAACCCACTAAGCATGTCCACTATCCACAGCTACCTGCTTGTTTTCTATTCAGCATGTCTCTGAGCTTCTCTTATAACCACTATCACACATCTGGGACCCTCTGGCTCCCACCATTTTCTTGAAGATTTTATCAATTCTTTTGGTGGTTTCTTGCATATACTTTGTTTTGCACCCTCTCGCTGCATTATACTTCTACTAATTTGTATAGTTTTCCTCCAGTGGGCTCTCAGCTCCTTTAAGGAAGGAGCAGTAATTTTTTGAATCTTCCTTTCCTGAAAGCATGCTTGGCAAATTAGAGGCCCAGTACACATTTAAGGAGGTGAGAGAGGAGTGAATTTGTCTCACTTCTGTGCCTTACTCAGATTGCTTAGCTCAGGCTTCCGTTTGAAAGAACATTTCTGTAAAATCTAAGCCAAAAACCAGTTATAATAATTATTTGTTCCTATGTAGTTATATTTAACATTTCTCAGTGCATAATCATGGTAGTAATGTAAACTATGTATTCTAAGAAACATTGCCAGCAAATCCACTGATCATATTTAGTATGTGTTTGTGATTATAAATAAATATGTATATTTTAATGGTTGCCATGGAAACAAACTTATGTAGGAGAATATTATTCTATCAATTTCATCTCTAGCTATATAAAGCACTGAAAATATGTTGGCCATGCAAAAGTCTCAATTTTCCTCTCCTTTTTAAGCATGCACGTATAAGATAAATTATTAATCTAGAATATAGATTGTCCTTTAGATATTTAAAGTGAAAACAGATTGGAGAATTCCAAAGACCCCCAAATCTGATACTGAATGTCGACAGAACTGCTGTTGTAGTTTTTCAGCCACTATATTCATCCTGACCATCTATGTTACAATAGGGGAGGTGACCATCTACAGGATCAGATTTTAGATGCACTCTGGACCTTCCAAGTAACCATGGCTGCCAACCTTCATGAAAATTTCCCAATTAGATGTTCTCAAATGCCTGTGAGGTGGATGGAGTCCATTTGGGCTGCTTCGCAAATGTTATTTCATGTGGCCCAGGCTAGCTATATACACACTTTTAGTGCCATCCATTGCGAGTTTTCCTTCAGCTATGAACTTTAGGTGTTTTTGTTGGCTGAGAAATGCAGATATTATTCTACTTAACTTCAAAGAAGTTTGCAAAATCCAGTTCTGTGACACAAAACATCTCTTCTGATTTTGCTAGCCCTTTGCTTTTCATGAATTAACCACAAAACAAAAACCCTGACCCTCAGTATCCACATTCCTAGGACTCACTTGAAGTAATTTGAGTTGGTCATAATATTATCTTAATACTGGGCCATAGAAGAGCAAAGTGAAGGGAATGTGTGTGCCTGTGTTGAGAGAGCGAGAGAGAAAGAGAAATCACGTGGAGATTGAAGAGGGGCAGAGGGCAGAATTGGAGGACAGACAGAAGCAGTGCTTGTTGCTCCAGTAGCTCCCAAGTTTATCTTTGTATGTCCAGGAGTTTCCCTCATTCAGCACTGAACTAATGAAGAGCCTCAGTCAAGAAATGTGTCAGGCCTGGTGTTTACATCAGGAGTTCTGTAGAAAATAGTAACGAACCCTTGGAAGATAAATAAAGATACGTTCAGGAAACAAAACTGAAATTGCTGCACTGGAAAAATTGAATAATAAAATTTCTAGTCATATTTTGCCATAAATAGAGGTTTGGGAATTTGTCATTCACCTTATTTAAAATTCAGTAGTATTAAAGGTACAGGGTTCTCTCATTACGGAAATAATAGAATTCCAGCTATTACTGAGTTAGGGTCATTGAAATAGCGATCGCATGCTTCATATCAGTAAGTGGAACATCTGTATGAAATGCCCACCTGCTGATCTCCCACCCCCACTCTGAGCACATTTCAGTGAACCGCACTTAATCATTTTAAGACTTCTTCTAATGAAGCCTTATCTAGATTAACATTTTAAGCACAAATACTTTCAGGCATTAAAACTCTCACACTAAATGAAATTGCATTGTCTTGTTTACCCTTGTTGATTAATAAGCAATCTGTTAACTGTTGGAACAGTCCAATTGTGGCAGTAGAAAGAGATTAGTAATTCAGGGATATTTGTGGATATAATCATTTCTCCTGAAGGCTTTGAATTAGAATATCACTTACACGTTATCCGTAGGCAAAGAAAGGATATAATATTTTTAGACATGTGTACCCACTATTCTGCTTGAACCGTTCAGCGTAGGATCACTGCATCAATACAAATGCTTCTGGGAGCAAAATGCTATTTTGATGCATGCATATCCTTTTTAAGTAGTGTGAATGCCTATTAAAAGAAACACAGCAGCCAACAAATAGTGCGGTAATAATCCAGTATCTTAATTTCTGTTTTCAGATCATTATTGCTTTGTTAATCAAGCTTTGGAAGAGAAATATTGCTTTTTTTCAGATGATAGATTTTATATATAAAAAGTCTTTGTAATCTTAATTTATCCTCAGTCAGTAAACTGTTGAACTTTTTGCCTCCAAAGAATCTAGGAATAAATTTGGAAAGAATATTTTCTTTCAGAGGACTTTTCTGTCTTTTGTCTTTCCTTTGACCTTGAACCAAACTTGTTAACCTCTTTGTTTGCCATTCATATGATAGAAATGACTTATTTCATTTAGTTAGAAATTGTTAATTGCCTAGATGTCAAGGTGGGACCATACATTGTAGAGAGAGAAACCAGTGGAAGAGGGAAGAGAAAAAGGATGCAACTAAATTCTCTAGCATTACTTAGCCATGTAGAGGAGGCCTCCAATCTGAAGGAGACTTCAGGGCCCTTCTTGTCCTGCTGTTTGAAGCTGGGTATTTCACTACAACCTGAAATTATGGAGGAAGAGAATATTTCATGCTGTCAGAAACTGAGCCCTGTAAGCACTCATAGCCCACTTTTTCTCTGCATTGCAGTCCCTCTGTCGTGAAATCAAGCAGCGGCGTCGAGGAATTGCCTCCATCCTGAGATTATGCCAGCATCTTCTGGATGACCGGGACACCTGCAATCTGAATGCAGACCACCAGTCCATGCAGCTGATCATTGTGAATCTTGAAAGAAGATGGGAAGCCATTGTCATGCAAGCTGTCCAGTGGCAAACACGGCTACAAAAGAAGATGGGAAAGGAATCTGTGAGTGTTGTTTTGTAATGTAATGGTCTCTCTCTTTTTTTTTTTTTAGACCAAAAAAACTGAACAAATTCCAGGGCTGGGAAAATGTGTTCATCTTCTTCCAACCAGCTTTGATAGTTAAAGGGGTAGCTATCTACTAACTAAGACTCCATTTGTCATAACAGAGAGTTATTCACCTTGTTGAGATGTATTTTAATACGTATTTTTTTAAACCACAGGAAGATTTTGCTTAATCTTACCATCTAAACCATTAATTCTTTTAATTATTCCTTTGCAATGATATTCACTAATCATACAATACTTCATGAATATTTTTTCTAGGTTGCTGAATACTATCAGAGAGTAAGGTACAATGTGTATAATGCAGTGAAATAATGTGTGTTTTTTACATTTCTCTGACATGATATGAGTTAACACCAGCCATTTGTACACCATTCCCTACTGGTCCTGCATGGAGTGCCTTCTTGACAAAGTTAGGCTGGTGAGAGTCAGCAAGTTTCTTGTTAAAGTCTAGTACAGTGCTGGGAGTGGGGGCAGTGATTTCTTTTAAGCAGTTGCTAGATGAAGGAAGTATATGAGATTAGTTGTTTTATTACAATGTAGAATACACATTTGTCCTGAAAGCCTTTACATGCATGAGAAAGAATTTATCAATAAAAAGACTGTATTCCCCAAATGACCTTGATGCTAGTGTCTCCTAGTTAGAAGACCAACTCTCATACTCAACTTGCAGAAATGAAATACATACACACAGAGAATGGAAGCCTTTCCTTACATATTTATACTGTCAGTTCCATGTCTTTGGAAAGTTCAGCATTCAAAACTAAAAATCAAATGTAAAAATCTTGCTACAGGAAAATATGTTTGCATATAAATTCTAATTTTAGCGAAGCCTTAACGTCTGTTTTGCACTTTGGACTCAGAACACAAGGGACAATGAGTCAAGAAGCCTTTTTGTTTTTTTGATCCACAGCTATGTTGAGCCTAGGGAGGATTTTCTCAATGGTTCTGTTTAATTATTTTAAGCTGAACTTGTTAAATTTCTTAAAATTTCCAAGTTACTATTAGCAATCAGAGTCTACATAATTGGACATCTTTTCTTGAAATGACCTGTTTATTGTGAAGCTATTTATCTGACTTTTTCTTTTTTTGAGAGTGTTTGGAAGGTCAGAAGAAGTTATCATTTTCTTTTTTGGTGCTTGGAAGCCTGTTAAATGTGATAGTGGTGATGATGAGAGGTAAAAGCCAGTTTCGCTAGGAAAAGCTCTGGAATTTTGGAGCATTCAAAAGTGTTGTTTTTTTTTTTTCAGGATTTATGTTGGTCTAGGTCTCTGAAAAATAGATGTAGATATCTGTAATCTAATCTATGGTAAAGGCAAGTTTTAGCTTCAGAAACCAGGATTGCCTGTAAGAGGCTCAAGCTATTACATAAAGGTAGGTACAAATTACAGGCAGAGAAAAGTTTCTCCTTTTTCTTCAGATTGGCTGCTAAGTCTGTAGATTATTTGGAATGATGAAGGAAGCAAATAAGGTCTTCTGTGCTAAAATAGGTTGGAAGTTCCTCTTTCTCGGGAAAGGAATGCAAAACTAGAGTGTAGACAATTGCTGACAATACATTGAGTACAGGGTCCATGATTCAGACAGAAATGTTTCCCTGCTTTTGATTCCTACTGATTGGGTCAAGAATTAAAGTTGCTTTTATGGACAGACAAGTATTTCACCAAAGAATCAAAGACTTCTAAGTGGTCTGTTTGCTTATTCATCATATATCCTCATCCCTCTTCCACTCTCTGCTTCTACATAAGGATTTTCACTGCTCTTTCTCCAGGACCTATGATATGCTTGCACATACTAGGTGTTTCATAAGTATTTGTGAACAAATAAGTACGTGATTTTGTTTAGTACATTTTCTTTCATTCTGCGTGTTCTCATAAAAGCGGTTTTAAAAGTTATTATGTTTCTATAAGAGTATTTACCTTCATAAGAATGTCAAGAAGATGTCCTTTAACCATTTTTCTTGTCTGATAAAGCCACCCTAGACTCCTAGATATATTTCCTCAATTCCAGGAGACTGCCAGCCTATGCTTGGAATCTGGGGGTGTGAAGGTGGCTAACCTTGCTACAAGGCAGAGTAGAGAGGCTACATAGACCAGGAGCTCCAGATCCCTCTCAAGGCTTCTTTAGAAGGAACACCCTGAAAGAATTAGAGGAAACAATTTTTGGAGCTTCTGTAAAGCTAGAATTAGCCTCCTTTCCTTTCAGCCACAGTAGGAACCTTCATCCTTCACAGGGTATGTGATAGAGTGCTAAGAAGGGCTTCACTTTAACAACAGAGCAAAATTAGCTAAATGCTACTCTGGCTTTATCTAAAAAGCAGAAAAGCAAGGCCTGAAAGAATCAAACTTTTTCAAAGTAATTTAACCACACACCAGGACAAAACTCAAGGATATTTATAGGAATATAAATACCCAGTATCCAACAAGATAAAAGTTTTTGTGCCAGCATCCAATCAGAAGCTACCATGTATACAAAAAGAAAGCTTGAAAATCCAGATTTATGTATCAATCTGGATAAACAGATCCAGAAATGATGTAGACTATAGAATTAGTAGATAATAGCACTAGAAGTTATTATACTTTACATTCCATATGTTTAAGATGTTAAAAAAATTGCATATAAGTAGAAACATTGAAAATGTCTTTATGAAATAAAATTTCTACACAGATGAAAACTGTAGTTACTGGATCAGACAGATTATCAACCAATTAGCCATCACAGAAGTGATTCATAAACTTGAAACCACAGCAAGAGAAACTGTCCAAAATGAAATAGAAAGAAAAAAATGACAAAAAATATAAACAGAGCATCATAGAACTGTGAGGTAACTTTAACCAGCCTATCATAGGCACAACTAAATCAGTAAAAGAAAGAAGAAAGTAATAAATAATTTTTGAAGAAATATGGCCAAAATTTCTAAATTCAATGAAAACTATTAACTTTCAGGTCCAAGGACCTCATCAAACTTCAAGTACAATAAGCATGAAGAAAATACACCAATGGCCTTCATAATCAAATAGATTAAAACCAGTGATAACAGAATATTTCAAAGCACACAGAAGAAAAGGGATACTTTATTTGCAGAACACAAAGAAGGATTGTTAGTAGACGTCTCATCAGGAGTTATGTAAGTCAGAAGATAGTGGTACAACATCTTTAAAATGGTGGAAGAAAATAACTTAACCTAGAATTTTCTATACCTAGAAAATATTCAAAAAGGAAGAAAAAAGGTTTTGAATATAAAAAGTTGAAAATAATCATCACCAGCAGACCTGTACTACCAGAAATGTGAAGGAGAGGCAGTCAAGCATGAGAAAATTATCAAATGGAAACTTAGATATGTACAAACTTAATGCAAGAAGAACCAGCCATAGTAGCGTATGCCTGTAACTCAAGGATCACTTGAGCTCAGGAGTTAGAGACCAGTCTGAGCAATGTAGTCAGACCCTGTCTCAGTAACAACAAAAAGAAGGAGGAGAGAAAGAGGGAGGGCAAGAAGAATGAGAATGTGAAATACTACATGATTTGACAATAGTAATTTCTGTTAGTATACCATTTTCTATCAGTTGGTCAGTCCCAAGAATTTGTGTATAAATTTATCTAGAAGACTCAAACTAGATAGGATTTTGTTAGGGAATATAATTTCATTGTTCAGAAATAAATCCAATACTTTCCTCCACTTTCATCCATTGGTTCTCATATAAACAGTTGGTTTCATCAGAAGAAATACATGGGTGGAATTAAATATGGATATTATTTAGAAAATTTTCAAACCAAACAATGAGAAATTACTGAATTTAAAAAGGTAAAACTTGAAAAAGAAAATGTTTTTCTGTTCAATTAAAATTAAGTTAAATTTTGAACAAAAATTTGAATAATTTAATAATAATGGTTAGAGTTTTAGCATGCCTTTTAATGGATGAAATGCTAGGAAAAGGTCATTATTTATCATCATCCAATTTTTTTTGCTTCAAAAGTATTTCTAAAAGTAACAGAGTGAATACAATGTAAAACTCTCTTGAGTTTATTGTTGGAACTTTCTTGAATCCAAAGACAAAACTGAAGTTACTATATAGGTGATGCTTAGCTGAAAAAGTTCGTTCCAGGTGTTGCTCTTTGAATGTTGGTTGGGACTAGCCTAGGATTCCCCTGTATCTATCCCTTCCTTGCCACATTTTATCTTTTTAAGTAGAACTCCTTTCTCTTACAATTTCCCCAATTTAGTATTGTACATATTTGGAGATTGTCAAACCAAATCAGGATATAAACTGGTAAGTAAAAGGACAAAAGTTTTTCTTTAGTTTTTATATATCTGAGAATGTAATTTAAAAGAAATGAAAATTGGTGAAGACACAAGGATCATTCTAGAAAATGGAACTAATTTGATAAAGTGCCATATCATGGTGTCCCTAGATCATGTCCTAGTTAGCCAGACTTTTGAGGAGACTGTCCACGATTTATTCATAACCATTGAGGACACCAGTGGCCTTGAACGGGGAGGTCTGGAGAGAAAACAAAACAGAGGGAGCAGCCCTGGATGCAGGCAGATTTCCCCTGTGTTCCCACTGAGAAACACTTCAGTTTCCAATTATTTCAGAGTGCTCTTCCATGTTCATGCTAAAGGCAGATGTCTTATGATGCACATCTGAAAAACTTTCAGTGTAACTCTGTTCGGCCCTGCTTGAGAGAGACCCAAATATTTATCTAAAGTGGAAGAAAATTTTGTCTTGACAGGCATCGTGACTCAGTCAGTAGGCTGAGACAGGAGGGTGTTGAATCTGAGGCCAGCTCTGGCTACATAGCAAGGCCTGGTCTCAGAATACAAAATGAGAGGGAGCAGGGAGGAAGAGAGATAGAGACAGGTCCAATCACTGTTTTCTTAGTTAGAAGGAATAGTTATCAATAACAAATAAATCATTCTTGCTTTTCAGATAAATGTTTTAAAACAGAAATAATCTAGATTCCTTTGAAAAACCTTTATTCCAGCAAACGCGCCTTTGAACCAGTGAATTTAGTTTTAAGGTTTTTTTTTCACAAATTGTATTTTTCCTTTTGCACTGACACTCTACAATCTGCACT